CAAAATTGTAAACCAAATGTCACGGAAGGGCCCAATGAAAAAAGGTGTTAGGGACACCGCAGAACCCAGAGAGGCCGCAACAGTGAACCAAATGTAAATGAATCAAAATGGAATTGCACAAAGTAAAACCGGTGAATAAGGCCACCGCAGAGCCTGAGGTGATCAATGGCCCAGTGAGGAGAGCACTTTGCCACCCGGGAGAGTTGAGGTGCCGGGACACCTTTCAGAAATCGGCCAAAACCAGGAGGCCCAGCGCAGAAAAGATCAATGCGGAGGCGCAAACTGAATGACCAAGATCTGGTAGCGATAGGGCACTAGTCAATATTGCCCGCGGGCGGTACCACAATGGCGAAAAGGCACCGCTCAGGTCAGGACAGAAGTCAAAGGCTATGGGGGGCACCTTGATCCAAGACCTTTTTATATATATATGGGGGTTGTCCAAAATACCTTTTCCCGGACAGCCCTCAATCGCTCAGCCAATCGCGTACAACCGCGGTACCACAGTGAGCAATCGCGGAAGGGTTTGTTCTTCGCTGATCAGATCATATACATAAAATATAAGTTATGTATTAAATAATGAGAGTCAGGATCCATGCGTGAACGCATTCGATTTCAACTTTGGGAGCAAAATAAGCTTGCGCGGTCCGGAAACGGTCCGGAAAACTCACAGTTGTACCAGCAGCAGTGGTACTAGTAGTACTAGTAGTACTAGTAGTACTAGTAGTACTAGTAGTACTAGTAGTACTAGTAGTACTAGTAGTAGTAGTAAAGGTAGTAGTAGTAGTAGTAGTAGTAGTAATAGTAGTAATAGTAGTAGTAGTAGTAGATTAGTAAAGGTAGTAGTAGTAGTAGTAGATTAGTAGTAGTAGTAGATTAGTAGTAGTAGTAGTAGTAGTAAAGGTAGTAGTAGTAGTAGTAGTAGTAATAGTAGTAATAGTAGTAGTAGTAGTAGATTAGTAAAGGTAGTAGTAGTAGTAGTAGTAGATTAGTAGTAGTAGTAGATTAGTAGTAGTAGTAGTAGTAGTAGATTAGTAGTAGTAGTAGTAGTAGTAGATTAGTAGTAGTAGTAGTAATAGTAGCAGTAGCAGTAGTAGTAGCAGTAGCAGTAGCAGTAGCAGTAGCAGTAGTAGTAGTAGTAGTAGAAGTAGTACTAGTAGTAGTAGTAGTAGTAGTAGTAGTAGATGAGTAGTAGTAGTAGTAGTAGTAGATTAGTAGTAGTAGTAGTAGTAGTAGATTAGTAGTAGTAGTAGTAATAGTAGCAGTAGCAGTAGTAGTAGCAGTAGCAGTAGCAGTAGCAGTAGTAGTAGTAGTAGTAGAAGTAGTACTAGTAGTAGTAGTAGTAGTAGTAGTAGTAGATTAGTAGTAGTAGTAGTACTAGTAGTAGTAGAAGTAATAGTAGTAGTAGTAGTAGTAGTAGATTAGTAGTAGTAGTAGTAGTAGTAGATTAGTAGTAGTAGTAGTAGTCGTAGTAGTAGTAGTAGTACTAGTACTAGTACTAGATTATTATTATTAGTAGTAGTAGTACTAGATTATTATTATTAGTAGTAGTAGATTAGTAGTAGTAGTAGTAGTAGTAGTAGTAGATTAGCAGTAGTAGATTAGTAGTAGTAGATTAGTAGTAGTAGTAGTAGATTAGTAGTAGTAGATTAGTAGTAGTAGATTAGTAGTAGTAGTAGTAGATTAGTAGTAGTAGTAGATTAGTAGTAGTAGTAGATTAGTAGTAGTAGTAGATTAGTAGTAGTAGTAGTAGTAGTAGATTAGTAGTAGTAGTAGTAGTAGTAGATTAGTAGATTAGTAGTAGTAGTAGTAGAATATTATTATTATTAGTAGTAGTAGTAGTAGTCGTAGCCGTATAGCCAATCGCCAGCCAATTGCTCAGCCTATCGCGATGCAGGTTTTGGCAATCGCGCAAAGCAGAGTAAACGCATCAATTCATAAATTTGTTATCTGCTTTTACGGACGGCTCCCATATATATTTATATGTATATAAAATATGTATATATATATATATATATTGTGTAGATACATGTCACCCCCAAAGAGCGAAAATAAATATGCGCAAAGTTATCATTAAAGCGATTGGACATGATTGGACATATCATGACATATTCTTGTGCAGCTCTGGCATTTTCAGCGAAGGATGTACGTGGTGTGTGCAATGCATATGCTGATGTCACATGCGAAAGCTACTGATTCTGCCCTAGCACGTGTAAAAGGAAACCTTTGCTCGCTTTTCTCAAACATCAACTGCCATGGCTGCCATGGCACAACCTTGGAACGACTTGCCACTTTCAGGAACAGTTGGGAAAAAGGTGCTGAGCATGTTTCGTTGTTCCTGATTACAATTCCCCAACAAATCTGCGAACAGCGGGCTAGACTTGTTTCTTTGCCCTGCATCGTCTGTGACGCTGGTGCAAATGTCGCAAAACGTCGCAAAATGTCAATGTCTTTGACATTGGCGTTTCCACTCAGTGATTGGGAAGCTTTGAACGTCCGAACTTCACACCAGATTAGGGTGCTGGTGAACATCTGGAACTTTAGATGTAGCCTCACACCATAGACATTGAATTCCATTATTCCCAACAGCAGAAAACTGTTGGGTTTCAATCTCGGGGGTGGTATCCCGACTCTCCCCCCTTGCCCATGTATGTGCAGGGTTCCGGGGACCTTCAAACCTTGTCTCCCACTGTGTCCCCCTTGTCTCCCACCTTGTCTCCCGCCATGTCTCCCACTTGGTCTCCCACCCTCCCACCTTGTCTCCCAGTTGTCTCCCAAATGTCTTCCAATTATCTTCCACTTGTCACCCGCTTCTCTCTCTGTTGGTTCCAGAGGTCTCCCAATTCTCGTCCCTTCGCCTTGAATTTGAAACTGTCACGGCTGTTGGGTTGCAAAGCTCGGGTTCCATGTACTGTGGGTTCGTGTTTCTCTGTGTGCGGGGCCCAGGTGCAAGCTGTGCAAGTTTTTCATTCAGGAATACGGACCAATACGGATTCGCAAAGGGTAACCTGAGGCACTTTTCCCACTCACCGTGTAAGTGAATTTTCTGTCTACTGGGACCCCCTGATCCGTGTCACTATATTCAGCATCAGTTCGCTCAGTGCTTCTTGTCGGAGCTCTTCAACTCTAGAGCCGCAATGGCCAAAGCCTGTGTGCGAGTTCAAAAGGTGCAAGGCTGCTTGCTGACAGATATGTAAATACATATAAGTTTCAGAAATAACTGCAAGAATTCAGGTAGAACTCACATAAACCAATCCATTGAGAACTGGAAGCCTTTCAATTTTCAACTGCGAGTCTGGGTTGCAATGTTTCGAAGTTGCACAGACCGGGTTCTCAAGGCAACCCTAGCCAAAAACAAACACGAGACAGGCAATCTCGTGAGACTAGACGATGAGCTTCCCGCAATCAAAAATGCAAACGGTGAAGGCAAATGAAACAAGACGTTCGAAGCAACATGTGGCAAAACGATGCCAGGATTGGGGAAGCAATGGGTAAGCGCAACGCTGGACAGAACTTCCGGTCCAAAAGATATCTCAACGCCTGAAATATAAATACAGAGGTTTCAAAGAACATCAAAATGTAATATCTCCACACAATTGGGCCGCTCGTATTGAATGAATACGAAAATTATCATCACATGGTAAGCAAAGCGCATTTGACCCAACATACTTCTCCAAACGCTCAACATTTAGATGCATTTAAACCATATCACAAATGAATCCCAATGATTTTAGGCTTGCCAACCTCTTGCCCAAATCTGAATCGAGAGATCCTACAATCATGTATCTCACAAAAAATCCGAACCCTGAAAAACAAAGCAAATCTGATCAAAACATGCAATGATTCGGAATGGCAGCTTATTTTTAACGGTCAGGGCCAAAGGTGCACCTGCGTGTGCATGGCTCATGTGGTTGTTACACATGGCAGGTGAAAATGGAGGATGCTTCGTGTAGGATATGTCGAGTCTGCTCATCGTGCTATTGTGCTGCTTGAACTCGTTCTTCAAAGCCTTTGGAAGTGCATGAGGTAGTTCTGGATTCTTCCAGGTCTTTCATGGGGCAGCAAGCTTGGATCTTGTCTGGCCGTCAACCTCGAAAGGCAGAATCCATGCAAACCTTCCAGTGATCTAAACTGGAGCTGTTCTTCTCCTTCTTGTAGGATGAAATAGTTCTGTCCGCGCACTGAGATTGTTAGTACTGCTTCATCTCCTTCTTGTCCCACCAGTGGATGGTAGGGAGCATGCTCGCTGTAGAGCTGGTCGATGGTTGCTGAAGGAATGCGCCCATCGTTGAAGTACTGCTGCACATAGGAATGAATCGCCACCTGTAGGTTGTTGCCCTGGATGGTGAGATGGTGAATCAGATGCTCGCGTCGGGCTCGATCATGTGCTTGTTGAGCTCGTCGTTCGTACTCGTTCTGGTCGTGGATGAAATCATCTAAAGAAGGATCATCTGTATGATCGTACTCCTCCTCGAACTCTTCACTGTCTGGCCCTTCTTGTTCTCCATCTCGTGATCTCGAGGCATCGCTTCGAAAAGGTCTTCCCCTTGGGGTCTCAGGTTCAGGTTGAGGTGATGTCACTCCAGCGTCTCTTTCTCCATCTGGTTCTTCAGCTACAGGTCGTGGATCTTGAAGACGTAGACGTTGTCGTGCAGGTTCTTCAGGATGTGGTGACGCATGTCGAACTGCTCGGAAAAGTATTTCCAAGTCGCCACGGCTGTCGGCAGACTGTCTTCTCAAAACATCCAATTCCACTGTCACTCCTTCATGGTGACATTCCAAATCGATCACCCTCTCGATGATCGGCAGCAAAGCTCTGTTGGCGTGCTCTTCTAAACGATTCTTCATGGCCAACAGTCGCCTCCAAAAATGCCATAGTGCTCCACAGAGGCAGAAAATCGCCACCAAAATATACTGACAAAATGGTGACCTGTACGTATTGCCGGTCTTGTGAAACTGTTACTGTTCCTCCTCCAAAGTCGTCGGCGCTGCATTGCGCCTGGTCAGAGATCTTGCTCGGCTGCGCTCGGCTGACCACGTTGGCGAAGCACAGGAAATTCAGCAGCCAAAAATTGGCCTTGGTGTTCCACCCAGTTGATGTCGTCCAGGTACTTTGTGATGTAGTGTAGATAGAGCTGGATGGCCTGGAGGTCCTCGGCAGTCATGTAGGACTCAAGCCACTTGTCATCTCCCAGCTCCAAATCATCTTCAGTGAAGTCTTTGATCTTGGGAAGCCGTCGAGCTTCGATTGCATGGCCAGGTTCGTTGGCAAAGTCCACCTGTCCAGTGCTCAAAAGAAAGTAGAGGTCGCGAAACCATCACCTTGGTCAATGGATCGCTCGTCATTGATTGCGTTGGGATGAGTATCTTGAATTCTGGCTTCTCGGATCGCAAGGATGTAGATGCGCTGGCTCTTGTCTTGACGTAAGGCTGTAGAGCCCACTGTCAGCGACCAAAAGTCTCGGCAGTCTGTGTAGGAGCCCACAGGCAAGTAGGGAATGCCAGATTCCTGCAATGCTGCCAGCTGTTGAAGTGTGGGCTTCTTCTCGGGCATCAAGAGTTCTGCTAAACGTAGGCTCACCAAAGTCGCAGTCTCCAAACCGGAGATCGCAGCCAAAGTCTCAGAATGACTTGTGGAGTATGATGCCCTTTTTGCCTTTGAGCCATGAGAGGACAGTATGTGTGCTGTTCCTCCAAAGATCTGCTCCTCCACATTCTCGCCGTTGATGGTGTGAACCTTCGGGTCGAACTTCATGTTGTCGGGTGGTAGCAAAATCAGCACTCCCTCTTGGGCGTATGTGCGCCCCTTGGATGCTGCAGAGGCATCATGGATGCACAAGAGCTTCCAAGGAATGTCCTTAGGGGACTTCTTGAAGATCAGGCCCAGGTTCTCGTACTGCTTGAGCTTGGCTTTGCGAACCACTGCATTGGCTTGAGAAGTCATTCACAGTGGCCTTGGTGACCTTGGACTGAAAGATGCCCACGTCGGCTATCAGGTCCAAACGTGTGGCCGTAAGCCAAAGCAAACCACCAAGTATGCTGCGGAACTTTGTTGTTTCAGCAGCAGTCAAAGGTCTGTTGCCGTCCTTGGTGTTCTCGATGTCCTGGGTCTTCAGGGCGTTGACAAACGCTTGTTGATCCATCTTGTACCCGTTGGGAATCTTGGTGTATTGACATCCACAATGGGTGAATGGAGTCATCTGCAAGGAGATCTTGCCGAAGGCTTTGGTCGTCAGCTTGAACTGCTCGTCCAGAAAAGTCTGGCGGCATGTGATGGCAAGGTCGTCCACATGGGTCCTGATGACACCTTTGATGGATCCGTCAGGATTCTTGTAGTGCCAAAGGCAATCGTCCAGCAGTGATTGCGTTCCTCCGTTCTCCTCCAGAAACTGGTGCAGAGTCATCTGCCAAGCCAGAGGTGCATCCACCAGGCCATACGCAGGTTTGAGACATTCCAAACCAAAAGCGCCATAGAGCTCTTCAGGCACGTTGAAGGAAGGGTCAAAAGAAGACAAATGTCTCCAGACATTTGGAGGTGGTACTATCACCACTCGGCGTGGTGGTGATGCCAAGCCCTTTTGTGCCAGTATCTGGCGAATCTTCTCAAATGTCAGCCCTTTCAGAAAAGCTCCAGAAACGTCCAGCGAGGCCAAGACAAAGTCATGTGTGGATGCCACACTGAGGATGAGGCGTTGAGAAAGTCTTGTAGCTGTGGTTGAACGTGTGGGCAACTCCTGCTTTTGTGGGTCTAAGAAACCCCAAGCGCAAAGTCTGCTCTTGGCTTTCATCTTGCCGCAGGGCATGCGCTTGTACTTTCGTACCCAAGTTGCGTCCACCACCACAACTTCATCTGGTAAGTCTGCCAGAGGAACTTTTCGAAAGACCTTCTCATTCACAAACTGTTCCAGCTCCTGGTGGTTGGAGTTCTCAAAGTCTTGCCAGTTGTTGATCAGTTGATCTTCCGTCAGAGTGTCAGTGTCAGAGTCAACTCTGAAGATCTGGCCATCCTTGAGGTCGATGTTGAGGTAGGCTTCCGTCTTGCAGTGCAAGTGGAGCAGGTAGTTGGTTTTGTTCACCCTGATTTCTGATGCAGCTTTCTTCTGTATCCATCGGTCGTCGAGCTCGTACCAAATTGGTGTTGGCTCCAGGTTGATCTTTCTTGATCTCTGCATCATCCACCAGATTGATCGTTGATGTAGAAGTTCTGTTGAAGTCCACAGGATCTTCTGCTTCTTCTTCTCAGGAGCGATGACAAGTGTCCTTGTCTCTGGGTCTTTCCTCTTGTGGTCATAGGAAACTTCCATCTCACCATCATCAGGTAGTTGATCTTGTCCAGGAGTCTGCAAAGGTTTTCTTCGGGTAATTCTTGCAGGCATGGTTGAGTCCTCGTGGTTGTGCTTGACATAGCCATAGAGGTAGATGTGGCAAAGGTCTTCAATGTTGTGTTTGAGGTATTCTTTGATGTGGATGTGAGAGTCGTTGGGATTTTCAGTCAATGAAAATCCAAGTGTGCCAAATGGCCAAGTGATCAAGAATGATCAAGATGCCTTTGGAAAATCTCGGTGTTGAGATTGTTTTCATTCCTCTTCCAAAACGGATGCCATGTAGGGTGATGTGCTCGAAGTGGTACTCCATGAGAGTTTTGGCATCTCGCAGCATCTGTGGGCTGTCGTTCTTGGGGAACTTGACCATCTTCCAATCGCCCTTGTCTTCTGGTGAATGGCCGAAAAGGCCAGCACTCTTCCACCACCTGTTTCGTCCTCTTCACTGCCTTCTCCACATCAGTTGATGTCAAGGAGCTGTTCTCGTTGAGGTAGATGAGGAAGGAATCTCGTAGTGGTCGAATGTGCCTCAGGCTCATCAGGTAGGGTTTGCCCTGGAACTCCACAATGGCGTTGCCAGCTTCTTCATGAACTTTCAGCAAAACAGCTGGTCCTCTCCATCCTTGTCCAGAGCCATCTTCACGGAAGATCTCAATGGAAGTAGTGCCAGGGACCATGTCTTCCAAGGCAAGGCGATGAGGTCTTGAGCGATTTGCCCGTGCAATGCGGGATTCCAGTATGGCTCCTTGTGCAGCTTGTAGTGCAATCTGCCTCAGTCGTAGTGATCGTTCAAAGCTGCTTTCCGCAGTGATGTCTCCATGTGGATGTTCAGCATCAGGTTCAAGGAAGCCACGTGGAAGAACTCCAAAGAGTAGTATGGATGGGGTGTACCCTCCAACGCTCATGGTCAGATTCTGTGACATAGCCTCTGCTTCTGCAGCCAATTCTTCCATCTCCAACTCGATGCCATAGCGTCCACTTTCGGCCTGGATCTTCAGCATGGACATCTTCACCAGGTCAATGTGGCGCTCAACCAAACCGGTCGTGGTGTGCATCTGACCTTGCTTCTTGGTCGTTGTGCCTGCAGGTCTTCTCTCGATTCCAAGTCGTTGGAACTCCTGTCCAGCCTCAATGGTCATCAGTGCAGATTGTTGGTCAGTGACGAAAATCTTCATCGGACCAAAGTAGCGAATCCAACATTTCATCAAAGTTCCCAGGATATCTTTGAGGTATCGCACAGGGCAGGATGTCGCCACCTTGTATCTCGTGGCTTCGTCAATCACCAGCATGAAAAGATGATCTTGAAATTGAAAAACATCCATCTGGACCAAGTCGCTGAAGCTTGGAGAAAGATGAGCTCCTCGATGTTGTGGGCGTCGCCCTGCTCGAGAGTACTTGCGGCAAACAGCGCAAGATGCCACAGCTTCGGCCGCCAGTTGTACGACTTCCCATGGCTGTCCACATCTTTGAAGGATGTTGCGAACATCACCAACTGGAGCATGCCATAGACGTTCGTGTAGACCAACAATGAGTCGTTTCGCCTGTGTGGGGTCAGAAGACGCCAGGCGAGGCAGCTTGTGAAAAATCCTCCGAAAGTCATACAGAGGTTTGAGTGAACCAGGTCGTACTGCATGCAACTTGTCCTGGTTCTTCACTGTCACAATCAGGAGGTTGTAGGTGTGCAAGTTCTCCATCTTGAGTTTCGTCATCGTCTTTTGCTGGTTACTGGTTGAACTGGAACCAATGATGAAGATGAGCTGGATGTTTTGGCGGATGCAGGATCACTTCCAAAGATAGCTACCAGCCAATCTTCTTCAAGGTCGATTGGTTCATGCCATTGACTGGCACTCATTTCTCGCAAACCCCTCAATCTTTCCAACGGACCATTTTTCTGCAGAGCCTTTGATGATCAGCCGCAAAGGAGCTTCCTCAGCAGTGAGGTATGGAGATGGTGTCGGAAGACTCCAAGGTTGTAGGCATGAAAGAGCTCCTTCGCATCCATCTAGTCGACAAAGATCTTGCGCAGCCATCCAAGAGCAACAGGATCTTGTAGCCATTGAGCTTCAGGAAGATCCTTCTTCTCCTTGTCAGCCTCCTCATAGCCCTTGATGGATTCTTCCAAGAGCTTCACCATGATCATTTTGAAAATTGAAGCTTGCTCGTTGTTGAAGGCGATGTCGGAGTGAATGGACAGCTTGCCCTTTTGGATCTTGTCGTTCTTCATGGACTCCTTGCGAAAGAGGTCGAACAGGTCGTCCTGCTCCTTCTGCTCCTTCTCGGCTTTCTTTCTCTCTCTGGGATTTTCTCCTTCAGGCCAACGTCCTGGCGGCATTCACCAGGCACAAAGGAGTGCCGAAGATCATCAGTGGCGGCTCTTCCAAGGGCACAGCGCTCACACTTGTAGTAGTCGTTGTAGACCGTGGACTTGTTGCTGATGAAGCGCTTGATGTCCTTCACACTGGCTTTCCCCAATGATTCAGGGTAGACTGCAGCAGCTGTAGAGCGATTGTCACCTTGTACTGCTCCTTGAAGCCAGCCATGTTTCTGACCTAAATGGCCAGTGCACCGCTTGACACAGTGCTTCAAAGCAAGGTTGCCCTGCAATCCAGTCGGTTTCAAGATTGGATTGCCAACTTCATCTTGTGCGCCAAAACGGCATTGGTCTGTGCGATCTGCATGGCCAAGGTTTTCTTGTAGGTGATCCCACATCGCAGAGGACTATGGTTGTTCCCATATGTAGCCCTTCTTTCTCTGGCACTGTTGTTTGGCCTTCTTCTTGAGGTAGTTGATCACAGGCATTTCTTCTTCTCGTTCTTGTTGAGTTTGTTGTAGATCTCGTCGAACTGAAGAGATACTCCAGGGCCTGCAGCTTGGACTCATGAAGTCAACGTCAGGCTGGAAGGTCTCTTCAATCTCATCGATGAGTCGCCTGTGAGCAGGGCTTCCAAGATCCCAGCCATATCTGTAGTCCAGCGGGAACATCACCGACAGTCCTGCGCAAAGTGCGAGGAAGGACAAGCGGCCAGAGCCGCTACACATCTCCCACAAGTGAAAGTGGGCACTTCTTCTTTTCTTTGCCCATGACCTTGCATTTCTCGGTGTCACGGGTGCTCGTTGAGTCTTTGTGTAGAACTCTTCAGGGATCGCCTTGTAGAGCTTGCTCAGGTATCGGAGTTTGCCAGGTTTCAGGTGTGCAGGAAATTGATCGCCTCCGTAGGGCTGTGGAGCTTCGTTGTACTCCTCTTCCAAAATGTCTGACTTCAGGACCTGGATCTCAGGCTCGTCATCAGCCACTTTGATCATTTCCGTCTTGTTGTTAGCTGCAAACTGCAGCTTGGGGTTCTCCGCATTGGAGTCAGGGACATTCTCAGTGTCGGCAACGTCGATGGACTTGATGTCGTAGTTGCCGGTGTTGTCATTCATGTCGGACTGCTCACGTGCTACCGTGTGCTTGGAACTTCATCCTTTCCACCAAGCAAGGATCTCCTTCTGCTCGTTGAGCGACATGTCTTGGTCGGCAAGCAGGAGCTTCATTGCCACAAGGTTCGCAGCAGGGTCATCAGGTCGATGTCCATTCAAGCGGCAAATCATCACTCCATCTCCATTGCCATACCATTGTGTCATCATCGTAGTTCGAAGTTGGCGAAGGCTTCCATTTGGAAGAAGTGCAGGGCAATTGCTGCCGTCACCACCAATGATGTCGGCCGTGTACTCTGCATCTTCAGCGCCAATGCAAAAGGGGATGGAGATCCTGGCAATTGTTTGGTCTGACTGACATGAGATGCCAGTGACTGTAGTTTGTGCTGCTCCCCAAGTGATCTCGTTGGCCTTCTCAGGGGGCACCATTCCAGAGTCAAACAGGTCGCGAAGTGTCTCGCTTCCAATCAGGCCTGAACTGGCCCCAGGGTCCACCAAAAGTCCCCGAACTCGTGGTCCTCGAACTTGATGGAAAACCATTTCACCAACGTCCTCGGTCACTGGGAAGTTCAGCTTCTTCGTTGTAGTGTCATCAGCTCGATCACCTTCTGGTACATCACTGAACCGCACACGCCTTGTTGGCAGCGGCTCCACTTCGTTGAAGGTCCCGAATGATGACCTTGTCCAGCTTGTCGGCATCCTCCTTCTCTGGGGAGCTGTTGTTGCTCAGCAGGTAGGCACCACCGTAGTAGTCATTGAAGTTCTTGGGCATGTCTTCAAGCCAGAAGCCTTTGCGTCCTTGTCGGTTGCCATAGCCACCTTTGCCATAGGACTTGCTTTTGCCGAAGCCTTTCTTTCCATAGGACTTTCCTCCATAGGGTTTGCCACCATAGGATTTTCCTTTGCCTTTTCCATATCCTTTGGACCTGCCTTTGCCCTTCATCGGCGTCTTGCCCTTGTAGGTGTCGTTCATGGGGCACGCATGAGTGTTGTGCCACTTTGATCCACAGGTGCTGCAATCCAGTCCCATGGTGGGAGTTAGTCCTTGGACCCCTCTGCATTGCCATCTTGTTGAGCTTCTCCATCTTCTGCAGCAGGGGGGGCTTCATCATCGTTCGTCCATAGTCGTAGTCAGGCCACTCCTCGTAGTAGGTCTCGGCATTAGTCGTAGTCCCAAGGTTGTGGTTGGCTGTACCAGCCATCATCTTCGTTCCAGGCGTAGAGCTCGTCCATGTAGTAGTTGGAACCATCGGCACCAGAGGACCACATGTCGGTCACCGCACTCCAGCTCGAAGCATCGTCCATGGTGATCTCCTCGTAGTGAGCCGCATTGGAGCCAGAGTCGATGTTCCTGTGGGCCATGTGCAACATCAATGTGCGCACTTCCTCAAAGCGCCGCAGGTCTCCGTGTATCTGCAAAAGCAGGTCATCCAGGGACTTCTGGTTGAGTCCAGAGCTCTTGAAGTACAGGTACGTCTTGGCAACGTTGTTCAGCTCCAAGCCACTGTGGGTCATCGCTTCATCCAGGTTCAACTGCCACTGAACGCTCCACTCAGGAAGCGTCATCCTCTGACGCTTGAACTCGAAGAAGGTCTCAAGCGCTCTGGTGGCTTGTAGTTGCTCTGCTTCTCCAAAGGCTGCCCTCAAAGCGGACATGAGGGCTTGAACGCCCGATGGATCGCCTGCTGGATGATGATGCCACTGCTTGGATCTCGAACCTCGTCGACACTTAGTCGGACAAGAGCAGCGTCGCCAGTGTCGATG